ATCACTCCAATCTGAGCTGCTGTGTAAATCCTTTTATAGGACAATATGCAAAGAGCCGTTACTTAACACTTGTGCGTTGCGTGAAAAGGGAACGGAGCTCTATGTAAAAGCATCCTCGCACTCGCAAGCTATTTTTGTATGGGTGCACACACTTTGGCACAAACATTAATTCACTCACACACACAAGCACGCACACATAAGCATTTACCCACTGACAGTCTGGTATGTAGCTCTGTTCCATCATGCTGTGCTAAGCACTCTGTCACTCTGACGGTCTCGTTTTATTTGATGATAGGAGGGTACGACCTTGCCTATCTCACACAGTTAGTCACCGATTTACAAGCGCTCACACATACACACACGATTCACTGTCTTGACTTGAGTTAAAGTTTGATATGTGCTGTATGCGTTTGCAGTGGAAGAACAATATAATGTAGGCAGAATGCTTTGGAAACATGTTAAGCTTTTCTGTGCTTCTTCTTAGTATAATTATTATACTTCACAGTTCTTTTTGGGGAGGCATGGATGGTAGCCCAACTGTGTTAAAAGTCCAGAACAGTAGAAATCACAGACAAGCACATTTGCATGTGTTTGCAGCCAAAGATTGCTTGCAAAGCTGTTTACAGGTTTGAGGAATCATTGTCATTGAAAATATGGAGACATTTTTACACCTTTACAGGATTTTCACACATTCAAGGTAGGATGGCCTCAAATGTCCATACTAAGTGGTTTTAAAATATCCATGAAAATGTTGTCAACAAGACAGCATCACACCTTCAAGATGAAAGAAGATAGATTTGATTTTATACCTAAATGCAGTACACTGATTCATTCCCGTAACCCTGTGAACTCTGCAACAAAAATGTTCCACCAGTGCCTACATTTGTATTTTTGCCTATTGTGATGTATCTTCAAATGCTACATGTCCATAAAATCTGTACAATCTAAGCTAAAATATTATGTAAGTCAATACACCATAATAATTGATGAAAGTATTGAAATTCTGTCATTATTAAATATAATACAAAAATTGGACGTTTTTTCATAAGATTTTTCCAAAATAGCAACACAACACATATTGAGCCAAAAGAATTTTAAAAGCAGAAACATAAATAAAATACTTCGTAACACTCAGTAACTTATTTGAACTACCGTAAAACTTCAATTAGCAGCCTGGAGTATTATTTGCTTACATCACTGAAGTCAACAGGTGTTTATATGGGACAGGCATGTAATTCCTTTTATGCAAAACTGTTGCTCAGCAAAGATGGGAAAAACAATCAAATTGTTTATTTGAACCAGTATGAATAATATTTGTATAAAAATTAGGCTTCGAATAACATATCTATTACAAGTCATTCATTTAGTCTAGCTCTGACAGACAAGGCATCAGAGAGAGAGTAATGACAGTATTTTTTACAGCACTCAAGGATTATGGCACCCGACAAACTGACCCAACACCACTTTATCCTGTTAAAACAATACTCACAACTCAACAACAAGGTGTGTAGCCACGCAGGGCTAGCAAAAGGGACTGGATGTTTAACTGGGACTAGGCTTTTAACTGACGTTTTACGGCATGTACATTACTAATTTTTCGAGTTAAGTTAATTTTTTTATGGGCAGAGTACAAAGGAGTTTTGATGGAATCATCATTCATTCCTTTGGTGCCCCCGCACATTTTTGCACCACAAATAATGTAGCACAATGATGTCATTATGAGCGTACTGCATCATGTCAAGAAAGACAAAGGCCTTGGCCTTGGCTCCAGCTATTATGATCTTTATTTTAGATTAATATATACAGGATTATGCAAACAATGATGTTCACATAACAGGGAAATTTATGCGGAAATTCTGGAATAATACAGGCAAAATATGCACTGCACATAAGGCTAGGCAACATCAGGAAATTTCATGATGACAGGAAGACAGAAGCCTTAGCTGTCTTCTGCAAAAGGAATTAATGCTCCAGTTACTATGGTTTTTATTTTATATGGATATATATACAGGATTAGGCAAACGGCACTTTCCTATAACCATTGCAGAAAAAAATAACTGTAATTACAGCAAAATACCACATTTCCACGGCATGTAAGGTAAGGCAACATAAGGTTATGACATGATGAAGGGGAAGAGGAAGCCTTAGCTTTCTGCTGCTGAAAGAATGAATGCTGTAGCTATCATGGTTCTTATTTTAGATCTGTTTGAACAGAATTATGCCAACAACAATCTCCCGTGGATGTTTTTAAAGGGTTAAAGCAAGTTTTTGTGCAGCTTGTATCACTTTGAATGACTTTAAAGAACCAGACATGATTTCCATAACAGTTCATTCTACAGATCTTGCAAATCAATCCCTGAATACTTTTGGACAGTTTCCAAAATCAGCCCCTGGGTGCTTTACTAAAATGCATCACAACCTGTAGAAAAAAAGTTGTGATTCATGTAACTGAAATTTCAAACTGTTTAAGTGTTACAAGGCCTTCGTTTTCTATTAAGAACTGCTCTCCTTTCCCAGAGGACTGCTACAGTATACTTCAGAACAAAGGGAAATAAATGGCTCTAACCAGTAAGCTGGTGTTTGTGTGAGTGTATGTGCACTCTCACAGTAAAATACATCTAAACCACACTTCCAAATATAACTTCAAACAGCTCTGTGTCAATGTTTGTTCACCTCGCTGTCTCTCATTCCCAAAAGACACAGTGCTTCCAGTATACAGTCTCACTTAAACAACTATGTTTACTTTAGCAAGGCCAGACAACTGACAGATGTTTGATCATGGAAAAAAGACACATAAAGAAACTCTAACTATATTTTTCTATGCTGTCTTTTTAAGAGTCTAAAATCCTTTCAAAATACTATTACACAAAGACAAGAATGTAAGATTTACAAAAGCAAAACATAAACAAGTCAGACATTTGCAAACTATAATGGAAAGAGTTTTTTGTTCTTGAATTTGAGGCACTTTGACAACTTTGTTTGCAGTATACAAAATGGGAGCTGTCTTTCCATGAGCTGGCTGTTCAGTTTGTGTTGCCTATACAGTGCTGTAACTTATCCCATCTTTATATCCGGACAGACATCTCAGCATCAGCACTTATATTAGATTTCCATGATTTAGTTATGCTATGAGATCAGTTGTCACTGTAACAGCTTACATTAGAATCTCTACCCTCGTGATTATGGCACTGTTTTTGCATCCACTCTAACTGATTTCTGTTGGGGAGAAAGATTGAATTTTTCCTAATCATAATAGAGACCAACATATCTGCCTGAATAAAACGTCATGTTAAGTCCACACTGATGCATAGCCATGCAAACATACTGGTTTTGCAGGGGTTTAAGAGTGGAACAATTGATTTCTGTGTCAGACACCAACAAGAATAGCCATACTTTCGTGGCATTTGACATGTTGCCAGTCAGAGTCAATATATAACGCAGCCAGACAATGGGAGTTTGAAATGCCGCCAGAAAATAATGAAAGGTTGAAAGTGTCTGTAGGGCGGACGGGAGGGGGAAATGATAATGGTAAATGGACGGCACTTGTACAGCGTGCTTTAGTCTTCCGACCACTCAAAGCACTTTCACACTGCATCACATTCACCCATTCATTCATACATTCACACACTGGTGGCCAAGACTTCCGTACAAGGTGCCACCTGCTACTCAGTAACTATTCACAAGCTCTCACACAATGATGGAACAGCCATCGGGAGCAATTTGGGGTTCAGTATCTGCATACGGACTGGAGGAGCCACCGATCTACCTCTGAGCCACAGCTGGTGATGGGTGACCAACAAACACCCTGGACTTTCACCCAGGAGCCCGCTGTTCTCTTCCTGTATGAATGTTGAGCCAAACCATGCTGCGTTTTTCGCACAAGGAAATAAACGTAAATACAAGCTGTTTAACCAGTGTTGTAAGGTTATTTGATCAAGACTGTATGTATCTAAGGAGTAGTAACTGTACACTTCCTGTCAAAATGTATTTTGAAATGACACAATGCATCTAACAGGCATAAATTGACACAGTGTCCCAGGACGTCAACATGGATGCATCCAGAAAACCTAACATGACTATGTAGACATCAAAAGTCCACTGAACAAGCGGCGATATGTGACGAATTGGGATTGAGAATACTGTACGTTGTGTGACTAGTGCTCGCCATTTCTGTTACTACTCCTGGTAATAACCGGTGCTGGTGCTGGGGGCTAACCGTTAGTGCCCCCACAGCGCTCATTGCTTTGGTTGTTTTTTATTTCAACCGAGAAACCGCGGTTTCATTTCACAATGCCAGAAAAATCAGTCAACTTGATCTCAGTGGAGTGGGTGGATTCAAAGGTCTGGACCAGGCAAGCACTATTTACTTAGCCTACTAAACAAATCATGATCCACTGAATGTTCTTTAGTGTTGTTGTGTCTCTCACTGCTCTGTTTCTTTGCCTCGCTGCTCTTAATTTATTTTCCTTTCAGCACTCTACCTGATGATATTCTCCCTTAGATGTGACTAATTAGTATTTCAAAATGAAAAAAAGAAAAAATAGTGGACTGTTTTCAAACGGGTCCACATGAAACTTGTGCTTAAGATCTCCTCGCTGTTCTGTGATAAAACTTTGATGAGACCTTTTCGGATTGATACATGAGATTCCTAAGGCAGTACAACTGTAATCACAGCAGGTGCCCAGAAAAACAGTATAGGACCTCTTGTACCGCACGACTGTGATTTGAATGGAACCGATGTCGCAGTTAGAGAGATTCATGCTCAGGGAATCTTGTTTTTCCTCTGTTGAGGTTATTTAGTAAATAAAGCAGATTTGTAAAAAGCAGACAGTGAAAAGGCCTTCAGGTCCCTTCCATTCCTGTTTTCCTTTTCATCTTGATTATAACCCTGGTGAAAATCTGGCGACTGAGTGAACGTTTCTATTTTAGGTAGATGCAGCTTATGAGCTTTATGTGCGTGTGTCCACTGTAATACATGTGTGCCTTTTCCTCTGACTCACCGTCCAGCCTCCTCCGTCCGTAGTCATGTCGCAGTAGACCTGGAAGCCTGAGGGGTGGTGAACAGGGAACACTGAGTAGATGCCGTCCTCTCTCTGACCACTGGCGTACAGATCACCGCAGTCACGGGGACGTGAGCCTAGGGAGAGGTGAAAGCAGGGAGACACGAAATAAATTAGGTCCAATATGGCTTGCAAAGGGAAAGATTGCTCGGAGCGGTGAAGTGAAATCAGTAATAAAGAGAAGATGAGGAAAACATGAGATAACTGTCTGCAGCTGGGCAAGGAGAGGCACATGAGTACAGCGAACATGAGGAAGCCATTCTGCTACTATGTTGTGAAGTCATCCTGTCAAAATGAGACCTCAAAGTGTTGGCTTACCCAATTATTTTCTAAAAGGATGGCTCTTGGAAAGGACAGATAGTGCTATGAGGAGGTTGGGAATGGCTGTGTGGAGAGGGAAGACACAAAAAAGATAGATGGTGAGATGGATGGGGCGGGTGATAGATGACACAGTGGGACAAGGGAGTCTTAAGTGCGGCGGAGATAAAAACTTAAAAAAAGACGGTACGCAAGTAGGTCGGAATGAAGACAGAAAGGCACAAGGGTGGAGCGCGGACGTGATGCCACAGAGGAGACGCAGATATATAGCACATAGATTTGAGATAACACAAGTTGTAGGAAAAAGGAGAAAACAAAAGACATTATGGAAGTCGGAGAGGAAGTAGTATGGCTTAGTGATGAGATATATACTGTACATTTGAGCGATACGACACAGACAAAGAGACAGGAAGAGTGGAGTATATAACAGACAGACAGAGAGAGAATTCAGGAGAAAAGTTGGTGCAGAGAAGAAAAGACGGCGACAGGGAGCTTGTAAGCTACAGCAGAGCAGAACAGTAGCACCCTTGTCTGTGACTGAGACACCCGTTTTACACAGGGGATACAAAATCTATTCCCCAGGAAGCGGGAGAGGAGCTCTGTGATGAGGACAGTCATAGATTATGCATGCTAGCCTTCTGCTGGGTCAGACCCCTAAGTTTAAAACAGCCAGGAGAGTTCTCCAAAAGGCCATACAAGATTTTTTCGCAGTCCCAACACGATATGAAATGTTTGGTCTCCCCGAAGCTTTTCCATTTCTCTGTGTAAGCCTTGACTACTGAGCTCTGACTTTCATCATCATCACACATAAATGGTAACATTTCCCAGTTCTTCTTTTCATTACAGGGAACCGAAGCTGTCTGGGTTCCACGGGACATTAAAAAAAAAGAGACTCATCATTATTTAAGAATTTGGTCCTCTATAACAAGGGCTTTCAAAGTTTTCAGTTTAATGATCCCTTGCAGCGGAGACTTTTTTCTTCCAAGGACCCCCCCCCCATGATTGTGCTGATACTCCAGGTCTACTTCAGCTTCACAACTTTGTTCACACATAATTTAACGCAGATGAATTCTCTAGTGTGTGTGCTTATTTATTCAATCCATACCTTTCCATTCCAGAGACAACATGTAACCTTGCTATCTTAATGACATTTTGTGTGACAAAAAGTTTCTAGTCTTGCCTACAACCAGTTGTTTCAAGGGATGGGCCGATCAATATTAAATAATCAATACTACAGATACGTTTTCATTTTGAAGATTGTGTACTGTTGCACGTATTGTTATGTGTACTCAAACAACGTATGGGTGCTCACATGCAGTGCACTGTAATGCGTACCTTGACTACTTTAATGCGACATAAGTGCAGTGAAAGCTGAACAAAAGAGGAAAAAACCATAAGAAAGAGAACTTGGAGCTGCAGCAGAAAAGAAGGGAGGAGGAGGGAAATGCTTCAGCCTCCAGACCTCCGACACAGAGACAGGGTTCACTGGCAGAGTCTCCTCAGAGAGGCTCAGGCAATATATATGCAGGTAGTAGTGATATTAATATTTTAGTCAAATTGGGTCGTCAGCATTGAATAATGTTACATTTTCAAACTGCAATTGGTCATCATTAGCTGTTGCTTCAGTAGACTGATTATTCACCTCGTAAATCATGACACATTGCTCTCCCCTACATGAGTACAAAAGCCGCTTTAACCTGTTGAGATCCCCTGTCCTGTCTAATTTACATAACTTTTGTAGGATGTCAAGCTCGATGATACTGTCCTCTGATTCCTCCCAAATGCATCAACTTATTTAATGGGATGTCTATAAGCCAATCACAGTGTTCCACATCATCTAAAGTAAACTGCAGTAGAGCCACACCCCGTTTATTAACAAGCATGGCCAACCGAGGCAATGAGGATGAGCAAGGAACATTTAAATCTAATAATTAGGGCTGTAATCAACCAAAGAAAGTTTGGATCAACTGAAATTCTACCTACTCTTCAACCAATCGATTGGTCTATGGGGGGAAAAAATCTGCATGTTATTTCCAGAATAAATAAATTGCCACAGTGCACTGAAAGCGCTGTTTTTTTGTTTTCCTATCACAGGGCTCGACATTAACACTTGCCCAGGCAAGTTATCTCCATTTTCAGGCAAGTGGAATTCCTCAAGTGGAAAATAAATGTGATTTCAAATGTAGTATATCTGAAAATAATCTGCGCACTGTAACACTTTTGCACCTGAGCAGCGTGTATGTTGTCTTACTACTAAACATTGAACAGGTTTGATGAAATCTTTCTGACATATTGTACACTTTAGAAGTTGCGGTTGAGGATGTCATGTACAACATACTTTTACTAATGTTAAATATCTCTACAACATTGCATGTCAGACACAGATTCAGTATTTTTAGCCCAGAAGCTATGTTAGCCATCATGCTGCTCCAACAAGGGCGGTGTAGTCCTATCCCTTTCAGAGGATTTATAACCCAGCCTTAAATTGTTGTGTCTTTTTGGAGTAAAATAAGTCCATTGTGATATAATCTGACCTCAAATGTCCCTTGAGATTATCTATCCATCTTCAGAATAAAAATGAGAGTTGAAAAATGTTTTTATTTGGGTAAAACGCTGGGCTCATCACTGTCACCACCCATTCAGTCAAAGTAGAAAAGAGGCGGGACAAATACCACAAAGACCAACCATCACAGAAGACAAATAGGCTACTGAATCCACTGCTGAACAAAAACTGCAGTTTTCATATGGCAAAAGTAACATTTTAGTGGATTCACAGCCTTGTTAAATTAACCAGCACTTGTCCAACCAATGACAATTTGGTCAGACAAGAGCATATCGATCAAACGACCAACCGACCAAAAGGTGACAGCCCTACTAGTTACCATATTGTTAAAGTACATAATTTGTGTTCAAAGTAAACATGAGATTTTATATTACTTACAAAAAAAATCATATTAAAGTTTTATAGCAATCCATACACTGGAATGGACGGGAGACCTGAATGTCACTGGAATATGAATACGGAAGTGATGTTTAAATAGAGAAATACTGTTCTAATTAGATTTTCTAATGATAAAATCTGCTTATGTTACATCCTTTTAATTATGTACACAGAATATTCATCTAAGGAGAATTTCAACATACTGTTGTCTGGAGATACTTCAGGATTAAAAGATATTTTGAGCAGTGACGATAATATATACAATACAAAATATATATGCAATGTGTTTAAAAGCATCACCTTAGTCATTATACACACACACACACACACACACACACACACATATAGATAGATATAGATATGAGTTAACCATTCATGGAAAATAAATCAACTCTTTTTTTTCTTACAAGAAAAGGTCTATTGAGATAATTTATTGTCAGTTTTACTATTAAGTGATTCCTGCAATGATCTGCCTTCAGAATTTTCAGCCATTGGAATGGACAGAAAAAATACCACATAATCAGGTATCCTAACTGAAAAAACCCCACCTATTATGAATGTGCAAAACTGTATTAAAAACTTACTTGAATAATGTCATCCAGAAATAGTGTTGATGAACCACATCATGATACAGAAATCTGACCAGACTAATCTAGACTGTAGAGGTAATTATAAATGCACTTTCTTTTATGGTAGCCAACCCTATAAAAGCTGTGCAGTGTAATATAGCTGATATATATGCTCGTGTAAAGAGTACAATGAATACTTAGGCAAGTGCTGCTGCCACCAAAGCATACATGATTGGACTTGTTGCTCAAATGTTTGGACAGCAACAAGTGAAACAGACTTGAGGCCTGTCCATCAGAGACTTCTATAGAGACTCTACAGCCTCACACCTTCACAGATTTGACATGATTACGGTTACTGTAGAGTAAGTACGGCTGAAGTCCATAGGGGCTCAGTCCGCAACTCCAGAGGGTTGGCATTTGGATTCAGCCAGCGTTTCCTGCCTTCAGTTATGATTGTCTGCATTTTGCCTCATCATCCAGCTTTCCTGTTGACTGTTTCTGCCTGCTTGTTATACCTATTGTGGACTTCATGGTCCCATTTATTCTATATTCTTCATACTGTCAAGACCAATGCCAACAATTTGTCTGTCTCTTTTTTTTGGAGCAAACTTGACTCAAACAGGAGGAAATGGTGCAATTTGTTGTGGACTATTTTCAGCTGTGGATTTGATGCACTATTGAGGCAGCAGGATGTGGAATCAACTTAAAAGAATGCTAGTGTTGGCAAAAAAAAGGAACAGGTCGCTCGGGTCGATGTGGCTCATTGATGTGTTTTTAATCGTTTTTAGGCAACAATGGAAGTCTATCAGACAGAGTTATAGGCTGTCAGGCTTTAGATACATAGTCAGTAATTGTAAGTAAGATCATTCAGTGTTAGTTTTTGTCTTTTCATTTCCTGACAATAAGAAAATGTAGAAGCAGACACCAGACATATCCTTCAAGGAGACATTTTGTATCTAATGATGTGTGCTTGGTGTGGTGTGGTGGGGTGTGTGTGTGTGTATGCTTTGTGTTAGCAATGGGATGGGACCTTTGAGGAGAGTATCTGCTCTGAATCTCATCTGTTTGGCGGCAAAATCCTTAGTCGCATAAACCCTTCAAAGTAAATCACTCTGACATCACAGGCACAGCACAGTAGGAACTGAACTCATTTAAATGCACCCTGTCCTCGCAACTCCAGAGAGCACTGCTCATCTGTGGCAGCCATTATAGTTGTTTCCAACCATGCACATGTCGGCTTCAAACTCTT